CGGATTTTTCGTTCCGGTTCCTCATCCGCTGTGAAGTCATGAACCCGCTGGTGATCGAAAACTTTGAGAAGCTGCTAGAGCGGAATCCTCAAACACGATTCATGAGCTTGTACTACGAGTACATGACTCTGGACATCGGCCCCTCCTCGTTCAACCCCAATCGCGCTGTCTCCGATCATTTCAGTTGTTCTTCCGTGAGATTCGATCTCACAATAAGGGAGGAGATTCAAGGAATTCTAGAGCCTCACCGTTCCCTGATTGTCCCAACTATTTTTGCGAACAAATACCGCCACGTCCCCACCGAGAAGAGATTTTTCACAGATGGGTCGGTAATAAATGCGTCCACTGGTTTTGGAGTATTCCACGATCTTCATAGCGCCTCATACAAGCTTCAAAAGCCGTGTTCGGTATACGTTGCTGAACTAGCAGCTATATCGTACACGTTAGAGCGTATTGCCTCACTTCCACCTGACCAATATTTCATTTTTACGGATAGCCTAAGCTCCCTGGAGGCTATGCGTTCAATGAGGCCGATGAAGCACTCGGCGTATTTCCTCCAGAAAATACGATCGTCATTGAGTGCTTTATCAAACAGCTCACATGTCATCACCTTGGTATGGGTCCCTTCTCATTGCTCTATCCCGGGCAATGAGAAAGCGGACTCGCTGGCCAAGGTGGGCGCTATGGAAGGCGATATTTACGAGCGACAAATCGCCTACCACGAATTTTTCACAATTTCTCGTCAGCAAGTCCTCGCCAACTAGAAACAAAAGTGGAATGATGGTGATCTGGGAAGATGGCTAAATTCTATTGTCCCACAGGTGTCGTTGAAACCCTGGTTCAAAGGGTTGGATATGAGTCGTGATTTTATTCGTGTAATGTCCAGGCTCATGTCCAATCACTGTTCGTTAAACGCCCACCTCTTCCGTATTACGCTTGCCGACAGCAACTTGTGCACCTGTGGAAACGGTTATCACGACATCGAGCATGTTGTTTGGTCCTGCTCCTTGCATCATGAGGCGAGATCCGTTCTGTGTGATTCCCTTAGGGTCCGAGGAAAACAACTCTTTAAACCAATTAGAGACGTCTTGGCTTGCCGTGATATCGACTTTATGAAGCTTATTTACGACTTTCTTAAAGCTGTTGATGTATGTGTTTAATGTTTTGTGTTTTAGTCATCCTTTACGTTTAAGTTTTAAATTAGTTCAAAATGCTTTCCCTTGTCCTCCCTCCAAATGATCAATAAATGTAATCCCTAATCTCGAGTAAACTGCGAGTAATCGGCCCCCGTTCTACTAACATTAGTTGTAAGAAAATGATATTCACACACAATAATGTAAAAAATATTCGGCTCCGCAAAGCTAACGCATTTGAGTCACAAATTTGACAAATAAATGGATTATTAAAAAAAAACTAACGAATTATCTCATGGATCCTCAGTAGGGAAACGCTGCTATAGTTGCGGTACGTTAGTAGCGTTAGGTTCCTATAGTTGTGTACGGAGTCTCCATACACAACTATAGGAACCTAACGCTTCTAACGTACCGCAACTATAGGAGCGTTTACCCTACTTGTTTTAAAAATATAAAATTAAAAAAATATTCATTGCTGTAAAAAGTATTTAGAATATACTTTAAAAAATGATCAATGTTACCCCGTTTTACGGTACATTATTAATATTGACGGCAAGATTTGAGATGGCTCTATTGTTCTGAAACTTACTTATTTGTTATAAGTTCTCAACATCAGTTTGGTTAACTTTTACCTAAAGGTATGTTTAGTCCAAACCTGCAAAATGCGTGTCGATGTATTTAGTAGTCTGAGTAGAATTTTATGGGCATTATCGTGAGACTAGTGAATTTTATGAATAACTCCAAAAGAATTTTGGCGTGGTTTCATAGATAATTTTTAAAAGAATTTAAAGGGTTTTCTGAGAATAATTTAAAAGCAAATAGATTCCTGAGGGAGTGTTCTAGTCTAGTCCACACATACTAGGATTCCCGAAGAAAGTTTAGATTAAACATTATTTAAAAGAACACAAAAAAAAAATATTCCAAAATAATTTTGGCGAGAATTAAATCTAACCTTACATAGGGTGAAAGAGAAATTTGATTTGCGCAGTAGGTCTGGCAGAACACAATCACGGTTTTTAACCTCTTTTTTGTCAATGATCCAGCACATAGATATTGCGTTGACACAGAAACCGTTGAACCAATGGTTGCTTTGGATGCTGATAAGCCTACCCTTGATATTGGTATCAATTTGACAATTTCGGTTTGATACGATGGTTTGCCTGATATTTGCGAATATGATTTTCGTCGAGTGGATTTCGATACACTCTCTGAACCACACTCTCTACGTTGTGTAATACGGATGGTTTTTTTTCCTTGATTTGTTTTCCGTCGATTTTGTTTTCTGTGCTGAGCACCAATGCTACCGACGCCAGGAAGGCAGCTCCCACACCTGGACCTTACCTATCGACCCATCAAACTCATGAACCGGGGACCAACGGCTTTACTTTCCTTCCGAAGGAATGCGTGATCAGAGATGTTATGCCTCAGAACATCCCGGCGCCACCGACTGGGATTGAACCCAGGCCTGCTGGGGTGAGAGATAATCACGCTTACCACTACACCATCGGCGCCGCTTAATACGGATGGTTAAAAATAAAAAAAACACGATCGAATAACTGACCATCCTCCCATGGCGGAGGTAGAAGTGCTATTATTTATTGATAGTGTATAGGACACAATACAAACACACAGCTGGTAGGATAGTACCACACGTAGTGGACGTTTGCACAAACAACAGCATATTAAAACGGCACGTTATTTATTGTGGTCTGCGCCAAAACCTTCATGGTAAAACTCTTATTGACACAGACTGAAATGTATAAGAGCAACATTATTGTGCATATATTGAAGCTATCGTAAACTCTACGCCAACGATTGCTTTGCATGTGTAGGCGTCATGTACAGCGGACAATGGCAGGGTCTTTTAGAGCATTTCCAGGCCAAATAGCAAAAAAAAAATCAGTCTCGATCTCTTCCGATTTAAATGATTACATACATGGTTAACATCCATACCTTTCACGCCAAAGTCACGAGTTCAAATCTCACCCCCGGACAAGTCACGAATGACCCAAGAGTGTTAAAGTGACTATAATAAAAAAAAAAAATACATAATTATTTTTTATAGTTAATAATTCACATTTGAGCTGAAATTCAGCCATTTTGAATCTCGTAAAACAGTTTAAATGAAAAATAATAAAAAAATATCGAAAAGGGTAATTTTTTACATGAAAGTTTTAAGCACTATTTTTAATGTTTTTTTTTTTTTAGTTTTTTTTTATGATATTCAAAATGGCCGAATTTCAGCTGAAATGTGAATGATTGACCATAACAAAAAATTATACAAAGTTTAATGCCAATCGGAGAAGGTCGATTCGTGTTTTGATTTCCGTCGATCTTGTTTTCCGTACCAGGGAGGCAGCTCCCACACCTGGACCCTACTTATCGACCCATCAACTCATATATAAGACCGGGGACCATCGACTTTACTTCTCTTCCGTGATCAGAGAATTTATGCCTCAGAAAATCCCGGCGGCGCCGACTGGGATGGAACCCAGGCCCTATGGAGTGAGAGGCAGTCACGCTTACCACTACACCACCGGCGCCGCTTCTCTTCATAGGCTGCTGGCAGAGTGAAAGCTGGCCAGAAAAAGGAATAACAATTATTAATAAAATGTTTTGTCCACTCGGTCGCCAGCTTTCACTCTGCCTGGGTCCTTACTCTCAGTTCCCCTACTAGCAGTCTCTGTTGATCTATGCAGCGTATCGGGATTACGCAAAGATTTATTTATTAAACAATATCATTTCGCAACGCATTGACTCAGCTCAACATTAAATTTGTATGCTCCTTCCCGACAACTACGCAATCGACACTTGTTTGCAGTAGATCTCCATCGGACCAATTACGCTAAATTTGAACCGGTAAATCAGATGATGACTGTTAATCATCCTTGTGAAATGAATGACCTGAATATAATCGACAGAATTAAAAATATGTTTCAAAACCCTGCGAGGTCATAGAACATAAGTCCTAATGTTAATATGTAGTCTACGATTTGATTGATTGACGAATAAAGAAATAAATCGGGGCAGGAGCTACGGATTGAAGCTGAAAACTTAGTTAGCATCTCCATGATTTAACAAGCCTGCTTGCAGGCGAAATCGTTCAGTTTGTAGCATATGATTAGATTAGGACAGCATCTCAACAGGCAATTTTTCACAATGATGAAGTGTCAGCTGATTTGCTTTTGAACGTCTGGTCTGCGAATATATCTTAGCTTGATGATTACCAATCGTTCAGGGGGAAGACACATTAGCTTTGATTAAAAGCAAATTGAGGACATCGATGACTGACGAAAAGCTGAGCTTTCTTTGTTTGTTGCACATCGAAAGTGATATTCTTAAAACGATTGTGTAGAAGATAATTCTTTGGGAAAATTTGTAATCCCTTATTTGTCTGCATTTTTACTAATATGTTTTTGCATGATTGATATTAAGATAATATTTGGTAATTCATATTTCGAAACTAATTAATATGCCTCCCCCCCTCTAATGAAAGCAGTTAGGACATCCCATCCCATCATATTGTCATATAAAAATAGGACAAAGTCCTGGTTCTACTGCACGAAAATTATATCCGCAACTGTTGCAATCGTTGAATCAAAAGCCATGTGAGCAGCAGTAAATTTTCAGTATTCACCGTCGGAGTCTTTAAAGCTTGCCATGTGCTTGGATGCTATCAAAAGGCGGAGGGTGTGTTTGATTGCAGTCAAGTGTCTCGTTATACTTATTATAGGTAAGTATACGGACAGAGGCAAGATCAAGCAAACTGACTTGATAACAGTATTCTGCACAGGGATTTACGACAAGCCAACGACGGCGACGACGTCTGCGACACAAATAGAAAATCAAGGAAAAAAATGTACTCACATTGCATATGCCAACATCTCCAGATAACATTGTTCAGGCGAATTTTTTCTTTCCACCGAAGTCGGATGCCTTTGAATGGGTTCCATTTTGGTGACGTTAGCTTTTGTCTGCAATGAAAAATGGAAGCGTTGATAATTGTTTTCGTATATTCATTATGAACAAGTTTGCATGAGGTAGGGGAACTGGGTGTAATACGCACCACGCGGTAATATTACCAAAGGCTCTTCTTCTCGTACTAATAAAAAACCATTTGATATGAACAAGTTTCCAAATGATCATTTAGCAATTCTGAGCGAAAAACTTTGGAACTAAAGTTAAAGAAGACAATACCAACGCTGTTGGTCATATTACCCCGTGGCACGCATTACCACACCTTACTATACAGCAGTCAACAACCGGTTAAATATTATATTCGGGCGGTTAGCATTCATTATGGACTGGTGTTTTGTAAAAGCTGATATGTGGCATACGTACGAGAACATGTGCCTGCAGATTTGGAGCAGATGCGGTAGATATCAATCTTAGGATTCAATGAATTGTCTTACATTGGTAAACATTTGTTTTCTAATCAAAATTATGGCTACCGTGGACCCTTGCCAGTAATTTAACTGTTTTTATGCCAATAATTTAAAATTTTTACCCCGCTAATTAATTTGAACGATGACGATTGTATATGGCAAGTTTTGCTATTATCAATCCTGCTTGTGTTTATTCGCGAAATTCACATAACTTACGTAGGAAATCAATTAAGCAAGGCATTTGTAATTAGCACCCGCATCAGGGCTCTACATTTTCGAAGCTCTAAAATGAAGTCGTGTTTTTTTTCTCTCATACAAACGTGTTCAACGCTTCATTTCTATAAAGCCATGCTAGACTATCAGCAAGAAACGAAAATGAAAAAGAGGCACGCCATAGAAGGAAAGGCTGGCTGTGGATCTTTTCGTCGCTGCTTTGCTCATCGCTTTCAATCCCGCATAAACAATAACCATAAGAAGCGCCTAACCACCAATTCGGGATATCATCCCAACTTTATGTGGGATGGTCGTACCATCTATGATATCGTTAGAGTATGGTACCCGTTTATTAGGGATGTAAGTAACGTCGATTTTCTAGTTAAAAGAAACCTCATTATGGCTTTCAATCCCTTTCACGAGCACTCTATCACCGCTCTTTCAATTTGTTTAAAATGCGTTATGTCCCGTTTTCGTTAATTTTTTTTTAATATTTATGTGGATAGAAGATAAATTATACGTATTACGTGTAATCTTCAAGTGTTTTCACGTGAGAAATGCTTTAAATATATATTTCCATTTTCCGTCATATACGTCATGAAACCTCTGTTGACGTGTTTCATGAAAGACGAAACTATCAAAGTCGAGCACTCTTTTGCTCTTCCGTTTCCCCGAAGCTTAAAAGAAAGACCAATGGAACGACGGGAGAAAGAGAGACAAGCGATTGAACATTTGTTTGTGCACGCCGACTGAGGTTTGAGAATGATGCGAAGCGGTTCAACTTCCAAGCTGGGTTTAGACTAGGCAAGTCAAATGATCAACTCAGTTGAATTCAATTGGCTTGAACAGTTGAGCCTGGTTCAACTTTTTTCAATTCAAGTGAGTTGATCACGTCAGTTGAATGGCATGGTTTACACGTTCAATTCGCGTTCAAGTCAGTTGAATTCAACTGACTTGATCAATTGACTTACCCTGTCTAAGCCCAGCTTAACAGAAAAAGAATGCCAGCAGTCTCTTCGTCGTATCGATTTGGTCGATTGAAGCTGATATTGTGACGCCCTGATCAGTATACACCTTCTGGTCGTATGAAACAGGTCCAAGTTTGTCCAAATCCACCCATAAAGTTTGAACTTTTCATGAACCTTAACGGCAAATAACTCACCAAACTAGCGGACCTGTTTAATAATTTAATAAATAACCACAACTGAGTACTGACTTATAACGGATATCGTAGAAATCCGATAGATTGAATACTTAATTTGAAATTGTTTAATTGGTAAACCTACAGAGGTGCCCAATGGCGTCACGCACCAGTATAGGAGTACCAGTTCAACACATTTTATAAGAACAGTGTGCGATGTTAGCTATCCAAACCAACGGGGTTCTGCATGGTATACGTACAACCCGCAGGAATGTATATCTCGTCTTATTTAACATATAATAATGAACATAAAAATAGACGAGTTCGTTTTTAGCCGGATAATACATATATAGGTTATACGTCAGGTAGCACAGTATTTCAATTAAAAATAGAATTCTGTGAATATGAATGAAATGTCGTTCAGATTAGCGGGGGCCACGGTAGTTGTAGGTCAACACTCAGTACAATTTGTGTACGCCAACAGAGCAAACGCCTTTCATTAGGCAACTTCAGCATCACAAATGAAGACGCTCTCGAGCACTCAAATAACTCAACTATAAATAATCAACAACAACAACAACAACAATGACGAACATGTGCCTGCCTCATTGAAACTAACACAGCAATAGGCATTTCAACTATAGGTAGTTGTTATGGCTACTCCCATACAGAGGCGAATCCGCGCACAGCGAACAGAGACGCGACAGAGAATATAATTCAAGCACTTTCAAACCCGATGTTTACATCCGTATTATGGCATGGCACGGAGGCAAATCAAGACGCTGAAGCAATAAACAAACAGCCGCCCATCGCCGTGCCCCTTTTCGCGGACGCGTGCTTTACACTCGAATGATATCGGGCTTGGGTAGGTGGGGTGGTATAGACGACACAACTATAATATCGGGGTTTGTTGGGTGAGCTGGTGTTGAAGAAAATGTTTAACCTTCAAAACACTACCCATGGCTAGACGGAGAATTCCAATGACTATACAGGCGTAGAAAGCACTACAATATTTAGCGCGTAGTATTGGAACAGTCGTTGTTCAGTGGTGGGAATTTGAATTGATGGTAATTAGAATCAAGTTAACTTTTCTATTATTCACGCAGTTTTATCAGCGAAGGGGAAAAGCAATTGTGATTCGCTCCCGTAGTTCTATCGTCACCACCTAATGATAAATATTTATAACATAATTTTCAAAAGATTTAGAAAATGTTTCGAATGAAGTTTGAAATTTTCAAATCATTAGAAAAATGTCCAATTATGACTATTATGAGATTCAGGGGGTGTTGTAGAATAACTGATGTTTTACAATCAATAAATTGTATTTAAACCAACTAATTTCTGGGACTTGAAGAACTTTTCAGGATCCCGGTACATGGTTATATTTTCAATATCTCGCATCCGGAGAAATATTGATTGGTTGAAGAAGAAGATAGATTAAAGAGTGAATGTAGAAGAATACCAACAAGCAACAAAAGATCAGATAGCAGAAGAAGTGAAGAAGATACAATAAGACGACGCAGCCGATTCAGCAAAGAAAGGAGATGAAGGAGACCTGTCAATATGATGTCAATATAAGTGCGTTGAAAAAGATTTTTTTTTCCTTTGATTTGTTTTCCGTCGATCTTGTTTTCCGTGCTGAGCACTAATGCTACCGACGCCAGGAAGGCAGCTCCCACACCTTGGCCCTACCTATCGACCCATGAACTCAAGAACCGGGGACCAATGGCTTTACTTCCCTTCCGAAGGAAGGCGTGATCAGAAATGTTATGCCTCAGAACATCCCGGCGGCGCCGACTGGGATTGAACCCAGGCCTGCTGGGGTGAGAGGTAATCACGCTTACGTGAAAAAGAATTATCACAATGAATAAATTAATATGACATTAATGCATGTAAAATATCTCTAATAAAAAAAAACGTTTTTTACACGGTTTCTCGATAACAATACAACTTATCGACTGTATTCGAATTACATTATCCATTTCAAGCCATAGGCATAATTAAAAAAATCACAATTGTTGGTGTAAACACAGAAATTTTTAATATACATATATATGCATCATAGCATGCTATAAATAAAGACTGGAACGCGCAAAAATTGGTCGACAAAAAATCGTTTCTTTTAGTCAAAATTCATATCACAAAAATCTTATTTTTCTTTTGGTAGTTCAATTCATATATTTAAAAGAAAAAATGTTCGTTTATTCTTTTGGTTTACCAAATTCGAACTGCCGTGCCATCCGCTTAACCTCTTCCATTAAATTTTGCACAGTGGTCTCATCGACCTTATTCGCCGCTGAACGCCAGTTAGATTTAAACTGTTGCTCGTTTTCGTTGGATTTATTAGTTTTTTTTTTAAGATTCATAACATTCGATAGGGCGGAGTTCTGGGCTATTGAGAGGGTTGTGGTCTTTGGGTACCACAACTACGTTGTTCGCATCGTACCACCCGATTGCCTTTTTCCCACTATGGCAGCTTGCCAAGTCCGGCCAGAACAGCACAGGTCTATTATATTGCTTTAGGAATGGTAGCAGCCGCTTTTCCAGGCACTCATGGACGTAGATTTCTTGATTGATTGCTCCCGTAGTAATGAAAATGCCGCTTTTTAGACCACACGTGCATATGGCCTGCCAGACGAGATATTTTTTTGGGAACTTCGATAGTTTGATGGTTTGAAAATTTCAGCCATCTTCCCTTTTCCTAATGCGGTATAAAACTCCTGTCCCGGAAGATGCTTGAAATCCGCCTTGACATAAGTTTCGTCGTCCATGACGACACAGTCAAAGTTTGTGAGCAGATTCGTATACAGCTTTCAGGACCGCTGCTTTGCCGACGTGTTTTGTTTGTAATCTCGGTTCTCCACCTTTACCTTCTTAAACGTCGACAACCCGGCTCGTTTCTTGGCCCGCTGCAAAGTAGGATGGGAGACAGTTAGCTTGCTAGCGACGTCCCGGGTGGAGAGGTTGGGATTCCATCGGATTACGATTGCCACCGCTTCCAGGCTTCCTGGCGGTCGATAGACGCTCCCGAACACTTTTAAAACGTTTGTTACGGTCGATTTGGCGACATCCAGCAATTTTGCCAACTTGGCGTGTGAGAACGTCGCATTCTCTTGCTGAGCGAGCAAAATTTTGTCACGCTGCTCCTCTTGCTTGCACGTCATTTTGAAAACTGGAGAGCAAATGGTGAAAACTCATCATAGCAACCATTGTATATACGCTCAACTTCCAAATG